TTTTAGAGATTTTAATTAATTTAATTAATTAAGAGAACAGAGGAAGGGACAGAGGGAGAGGGAGAGAGAGAATCTCAAGCAGACTCCACACTGACCATGGAGCTGAGTTTGGGGCTCGATCTCACAACCCTGACATCATGACCTGAGCCGAAACCAAGAGTCAGACCTTAGCTGACTGAGCCACCCAGGTGTCCCAGGGCACTCTTGATGTTCTCTTGTGTAGTGTAGGCGTATTGGTACTGGTGGTAAGAGTGAGGGTTGCAGAGTTAGATGTCCTGGGTTCCAATCCCAGCTCTCCACTTGCCAGCTGAATGACACTGGTCAAACCATTTTCCTTTTCTGGCTAGGGCCAGGATGCCATGAGGTGCTTAGGGCACAACGTGTTAGGAGCTATTCACTCTTGGGGTCCAATGGGTACAGGGGCAGCCCTCTCACTACCTTGACAGGGACGTTTCCATGAGCTTCCTTAAATTCCATGCCTCTCTTCTCCTTCCCTGCCCCTTGTCCTGGTTTTTTAATCTCTAAAATAGGGACAGTGACGTCCCTGGTAGAGAAAGTGTAAGGACTCAATAACTCATACAAGTACGGGACTTAGCCACTTAGCCTCGTGCCTGGCACATTAGAAGGGCTCGAGAGATGACAGCAATGCTCTCTCCCACCACACCGTAAGTGCCTGGGCAGCTGGTCTTCATGTCTAATTCATTTTTATAGTCCTAATAACTTTAAACACATTGCATTGAAAATAGTATGTGATTAATTATGTTGAAGTGAATTAATAGCTGCTAAGTTTGAGGCATGTGGTGACCGGGTCAGTAACCAGGCAGCCAGCTCCAACTTCGAGTTAGCTCTTGAGCTGGGTCATTTCCTGGTCCACGCTGAGCATTTAGGACGTTTAGGTGAGGAGCTTTGGACAGAAGGAGTAGAGCCCAAACCTCAGAAAATTGCTGAGGTTGGTTTTCAAACTAGAACCATGAAGGAAACGGCTCCAAAAGCGGGATGCGTGCGCGCTGGAAGGATTAGCTCGCGTCTGGGTAGCAGCAGCTCATATGTGCAAAGTGGCCTGGGTTCATGCGGGCCGGTCACATCGGGAAAGGATGGCCTCCTTCTCCATCAGGCATTTGCCAGTTCCCTGGGAAGGAGATTCTTTCCTGGAACACGGAGACTATCTTGCATCTTGCCTAGAACGCCACGAAACTGCTGGCAGCTTTCGGCTCAACTGGGTGCATCCCGAAACACCACATTTATTTGATATCGAAATTGATAGTCCTCTTTTACATTGTGGTTGGGACTCATTAATTCCCAATAAGGACCGACATCGAAGGAGGAGTTTCTTCCCTTTCTCACAAAAAATAAAAAATAAAAAATAAATGTAAAAAAATGTTTCCCTGGACGGGACACAGCTCCTGTGACTGATTTGCTCTCCTGGCACAGGGCTGCGTGTTGTGTGGTACCCCGAGGCTGGTAAGAAGGGAGACAGGATCAAGAATTCCTGGGTGGGAAGGCTTTTCCCTGCGCTTACCACAATTGCTAAAACACTAGGTTTAATAGCCCAAGACTGGTCTATATTTGCATGGAAACCATGTTTGTGTGGAATTCTACTTTTTTTTTTTTTTTAATTTCAAGATGGCCATAATAAGAGCCAGACTGTTGATGAGTCTAACGATTAGAAACAGCTCCTAAACTTCCCACACAATCATGGTAGGTTCAATTCTGAGATCTTATTTGAAAAGTTCAAAATGCGTGGTGTTTATCTAGCAACCTCATGGAAGCACTCATAGCCACCAGTGCCAGACACGTGTGTGACGATTGTGGTTGCCCGGTGCAAAGACTGTCCCTATAACTAGCCACGGAATTTAAGTAAAGCAGTCTGGAGGGGTGTTGGGAAGGTTCATTTTAGTAACTGCTAAATTTGTGTCCACAAGATCATTATTAAATTGGCAAGTATGAAGCAGCCTTGAGTGTGGCAGAGCGTATACACTCCTGGATGAGCTGTGTGCTTGGAAACGAGGAGTGAGCGTAAAGAGGGTTCTTGGCTTTCAGGAATGTGGCTCAGGGTTTCAATCCCCTTTGAGTCGTGTCCACCATTACACCTGCTCCTTTCGGAGCCAGACCTGCACATTATCACCATTACTCTTCAACAGCACTGAAATTGCAATAATCTATGAAATCTGTCCTTTCCCAGTCTTTCTCTGCCACAAAACAGAATTTCCAGGAGCTTGTGGGGGTGGCAAGGGGGTGTTGAAAAATATATTCTGAGTCACCGCTTGAGAAGTTTTTATTGTGTTTTTTTTCCCCAAGTGATTCTGGTAGTGAAAGTATTATGGGTATAGAACAAGCAAACACTTAAACTGAAAACAATTAGGTAGTAAAGTCCTCTGCTTTAATGAGAGGTCATTAGTATTCATTTCCAAAGCTATTATCAACTTGGAATGTGGGATTGGAAAGGCTCTTCCAATATAGGAAGGGTGCTCACAAAAGAATCACTGTTTCTTTTTTTTTTTTTTAAGATTTTATTTATTTGTTTGAGAGAGAGCATGAGCAGGGAGGAGATGGAGAAGTGGGCTGCCCATCCGCTCAGCAGGGAGCCCAACATGGGGCTCCATCCCAGGACCCTGGGATCATGCCCGGAGCCAAAGGCAGACACCTAACCGACTGAGCCACCCAGGTACCTCTGAACCATTGTTTACAAGAGAAACAAACTCATCACTTCCATCTGTATCTTATGTAAACAACAAGATCCTAATGTAGATATCAAGACACAGCTCCACAATCCCATAGTATCCTTGTTTGTCATGAATCATGAAGTGTCACCTTTTCAACTCCTGAATGCCCAAGGAGCAAGAACAAAATTGCATGGCAAGAGAAGGAATCTAAATCAGGGATTGGCAAACTACAGTCCTAGGGCTGACCACCTGTTTTTTGTAAATAAAACTTTACTGGCTTACAGCCATGCTCGTTCGTTTACATATCGGCTGTGTTGGCTTTCATGCTAGAATGACAGAGTTGAGTAGTTGTGACAGGCAACACTGGCCAATAAGCCTAAAAATATTTATTCTCTGTGTCTTTACAGGAAAATTTTGCAGAGCCCTCGTCTAGACAAATAGTCCAATGAGTCAAGTTGTTGGCTAAAGGTCCCCAATTCACAATGCCAAGAGAAGTACTGGGTTGGCTTTGGTGGTTGTCATGCACTTCGTAATTTAAAAAATCTTATGAGCTAGTACAACTAAAACTCCTCTTCACCTTGCTTTGAAGAAGCAGTATGGAAAGTAAAATTAGGTCTCAATATATTTTATATGTTGCCTGGACTTCTAAAACACTGCTGGATTGCTTAAAAGTGCATAAGTCGATGTCATTTCTTAAAACTTTTAAAAGATGCGAATGTTGGCAACTACTAAAATATTGGCATCACGCTTGTGTCTGCACAAAATTCTACAATGCTCAAAACCACGTGCTGTAGCTATAAGTGTAGTCCTACTTCAAGTGAAACTCTTTAGTCTAAATATTTTTGCCATCTTTGAAACCAGTTTTGAGAGTCATCAAAAATCTGCAGTTTAAGACACCAGACGCATTTCTTAGTAGAGCCTTCCGGTGCCAACATGTTGGACCAATTCAGTAAAACATGCCATAAATTATATGACTGCTTTATTTGAATTAGGGGATACATTCCACAATAGCGGAGTTCAAAAGCCAGACATGGGCTCTAGGTTATTATTCATACATTGGCGATGGATTCGAATCTCGCCTTTGCGGCTCAGTTTGGCCAGCACTATAGGTTATGACAAAGAACAATGCTCAAAGACCCAAAGCAGTTAAGATTACAGTGTCAAGAGCTCTGAGTTATACAACCTTCACAAATGTAAGACAGCTGGTTGGAAGAGCCTTGGACTGGCACATCAGAAGTGAGGGGAAGCTTTTGACATGTCATTAAAGATAGGGCTTCTGACTTGATGTTGTTTACCATAAAGGCTAACTCTTTTCTTGTCATTTAAATATATTAGTAGATCATAACTAACATATAGGATTATGAACTCTATCTGCAAATGAATCTTGGTAGATAAGTGACCGGTCACAGCAGAAAAGCCATTCAGGTCCAGGAGCACATGGCCTTCCTCTCTAGACACAGGTTGGGCCATCTGGCTACATCTACAGACTTAAATGGCTAAAATCCAATTCTCTACTCATAGCTGTACTCTTGCCTAGAAGAATATTTAAAGCTTGGGATAATAACTTGGGGGAGGAAATGGTGTGCTCATGAAAATAACACTTAGAACTTAAATACAATTTTTGAGACTTGCGTCAAGAGTTAAAACGTGCAATAAACCTGCTAGGTAAGTCATAAGACCCACAGAAATACCGGCATAGGAGATGAAGTTTTCAGTCTCAATTCAAGTATGATTGGATCATGTAGCTGAAAAAATGCTCATCATTCTATATTTTTTGAAAAACTGGTCTTAATTCTTAAACTGTTCTTTCTTCATTTGAAAAAGTTCACCAGTCAAGGTATACACATCACGGAAGGCCACTTACAGACTCTCATTTTGAAGATAGTCTTAATTTTCAAAGGGCAGTTAGAACAGGGCTCATTTTCAGAAAAAGATGATTCACCGTTCTAACTCAGGACTAGAAAGGTGAGATCCTTACAGGGGAGGCTCGTAAAAGACGTCGTAGGAGAAACGGATCCTCTCAAACCCTTGGTACAGGAGCGAGGTTGGGGGATGAACGTGTCTCTTTAAAGCCAAGCAGCCGACGCTCGAAGTTGTGTGGGAAAAGCAGCCTGTGCATGTTCTGTAGCCAAATCGTGAACGCACATTTTTGTGTGACGGTCCTGCTCAGGAAGCCAGGCTCTAATTAAGATCTAGCTGGGTCAATGTTCACGAGGGGGGACATCCAGAGTGTGGGAACACTTCAAATCCCCTTCTGTGAAGACATGAGACTGTCAAAGCTTAGGAAGGCCCCAGCTGTCCATGCAGATGGAGGTGGTGTTGAGGGCAGGCGGATGGCGATGCTTGTGCACGTCAGCGCGACCTAGCTGGGACACAAGGGGAGGGTTTTTAAAGGTGGGATCGAATAACAGGCCAGTGGCCATCCCTCTTGGCAGCTCAGACCTCTTTCTTCTCTCCACTTTGGCTCTTTGTTGAGTCACTTCCATCAAGCAGGGTTCCGTAGGATAAGCCATTTGAATCTGGCTGTATTTTGTCCAACATTTGTTTCCCTGTGGAGATAATAGTCACACACAAAAAATCTTCTGTGGTTTTAGAAAGGAATACGTCTAATAACGGTTTCTCCTCTCTCTAGGCCACATTTTAGTCCCTCTTTATAGTGCTCTGTGGTTACCCTCTACACAGAAGAGACCAACATCAGGAAGAAAGGGCCCCGGAACTCTGTGTCCCTTGTCTCCGCAGGAGACAGCAGGCTCCCTGCCACACAGGGCCTCCTGTGCGGGGCATGGAAACTGGGCTGGCTCGGTCAAGAGATGAACGTGAAGCGTCCACTCATCTCCACACCTTCCTTCCCAATGTCCTTTCCCCTTTTCTGTGTTTGATCTAATGCGTGTAACAACAAAGAAAAGCAGACTTCCATAGCAGCTACTAAAAGCTGCTGCTGATCCTGTGTATGGGGCTTTATGAACTGGAAAATCGAGTTAAATGGTATTTTCTACCCAAGAGCTTCTGACCACACAAGTCACTCACAATGCCCACCTTTTCCACCAGAGCCAGTTCTGGCCTGGAACGCTCTTAGGGGATAAGAGGGCCCAAGAGGGAAAGAGAACACAGAGCTCCTTAGGTCATGTTTTCTCAGTTGTAGGGATGAGGCGTTAATGGCTTTTGCTTCAAAGTTGGGGACCTAACAGAATGGGAGAGGAAGCTGTCAGATCATCATTACTTCTGTCTAGAAACCTGTAGGTTGCCCTGATTCCCTAGCAAAGCTGGACCTACTGAGTAGGCCGGGGAGGAGGTGAAGATACAGCCAACTCTTGGCTTTGTTCTGAACATCGCTTCTGCTGTCTACATGACAACAGCAAGTTATTTCCCAAGGAGATTGGAGGACTGCAAAGAGGGGGATGTGAAGTGGATCAGGATGAAGAAGGCAAAGTGGAGGGGGAGAAGCTCTCCGTGTTCAGGTGACTGTGAAGGATGTCCCTTTCGGCCCCACCGTGCACAGGTTTCTGCAGTCTTTTCCAGAACGATGGTCCTTACCAGTCTAAGCTCCTCTCCTGGGATGTTCCTTCAAAGACTCTCCTGGTAACCATTCCCTACTCCTATCCCCACCCTTTTTCAGTTTAAGGAAACACAAAAAGAAATTTGCAACATCCCCCAAATCAAGAAAATTGGGGCCAGTTCTTTTATATCCCCAGTGGTCTGTGCAAAACTGACATTCAAATAAATGATTATTAACACTGATGGTTAAAACGTTGCCTCTGTTTTCATTGTTAAAAAGACATTTTCTTGAGGATAAAAATTATGTTTTATATTAATTTTAACACCCCAATAATACCAGCAACTACTAATTTATAAGGATAAAGTTTCCCATCATAAATTAAAGGATATACAGTTTTACCCGGAATATTTCCAAAATCAATGTAGGACTGTGGCAGATGCTCCTTTTCTCGATTTCTTGTGACCAAAAACACACCAAGGAATGATAGAAAACACCTGTAAGAGTGATATTAATAAAGAACACAAGAACACTGAAACAACCCGTGGTGTTAAATACCAGCTCCATAGTCTACATGATGACATAAATTCCACTGGTTTTGTTTTTCCTGTTTCTCATGGTAAGCTTCTAGAACTTGTCTTAATTGCTGCAGCCAATTATACTTTTTCCCCAGAACCAAGACCTGGGCAGCTTCCAATAAATCTCTGCCCCAGGTTTTTACCATCTGGAGGCTAATTCCAGCTCTAAACCCTTTGGGTAGACACTAGGTCTCATTTTCTTTCCATGCGTGCCCAGACCCATTACTGGCATGCAACATGAGAAAAAAAAAATATATATATATATCTTAATTTTCTAAGAAATTTAATTGTCCTTGGCCATAAGAATAGTCATAGTTTCCAGATCCTAGAAGTTTAGGCTTGCCCAAGTATCTTATGAAATTGGATTTTCAAGCTAGATGGTTTTCTATGCTGAAAATAGCCTGGGCTCGAGTCTGCATAATGGCCATGCAGAACACGAGATCAAGAAGCAGCTAAGCATTAATGGAGTGCCAGTCAGATCCAGCAGACGATCTGATACATTGGTGATAGGCTGTCCAAGGTCTGCTCTCTGTTTGCAAGAATGTCAGCAACGATGCCTACCAAATTTCTAGGAAGGGTTAAAGATGGGCACTCAGACACAAGAAAGGGATACTTCCAATCCGAAGTTATTAGGTCCAAAGCTAATAATCTGCCCTAGACTTAAGCTTTATTCTAGGGGATCCTACAGGCATCTGTGGTTCCTGGCTGGGTTCTAACCTAGAAATTTCCAAGAGCGAGGTAGGTCTGATTTTGCAGAGAGACATCATGGAGTAGCTATAACAGCCAGTGGTGGATTTTTCTAGACTGTGGCTGGGATTGAAAATCCCCAGGTTCAGAAGCCTCAGAGAGAGACCCAAATTAACAAGTAAAAGACATAGAGTCCTGTGGAGGATGTTAAATGAAAACTAGGTTTCTTTTAAGAGCTCAGGAAACTAATGTTTCTTATATTGTCTTTCAATTTTCTATACCTCAGGTAGAATGCCAAAAACCCACATAAAAGTAATAGGATGTCACATTCCTTACTTATGAGACATCTACTTACCCAAAAATATATATAAATACAGTTAGAAAAGCTGCACCATGGAATTCCTGATAAAATATTATACCTGTAACCAGAATAAAAGACAAATGTGATTTTAGGGAAAGAATACATATATACTAGCTACATTGTTTTTCAAATTATGTTCATGTATTATTTTTTCTAAGGATAGTTACCCTTAAAATGCACGTTCAGTAGCTTATGTTTAAAAATACGTGCATGCCACACTTACATTTTCAGTGATTTCAAAAAGAACATAGATTCATAGACTTCATATGATGTATTATTATTCTAAAATTAACAGAGTTGCCATAACTTTTGGAAATAGAAAATTCTTATCCAGTCTAGGATTTAATCCCACCAGGACAGGCAAGAAAAAAAAAACTCTAGTGACCTTTCCCACCTACACTTTCAGGCCAGGGGTCAGCAGGCCTGACCTGAGGGTCTGGGCAGACTCTGGGGCCTGGGACACAGCATCTTCTCCAGCTCAGCGGCTGGCCGCCCAGGCTGACACTCTTGGCAAGGCTCCATGCACACTTATGCCCTGGAGGACATGGGAGCCATTCTCCCCAGCTTTGTTTCTCACTGCCAACACCCTCTCCTTTTGCTTCCTTCTGGTCTTCCCTTTTGGGGGAAGGAAAATTTGGATGTGTTATTTACTCTGATAAACTTGTCTTCTCTCCCTGTTGATCTTGATGACGACCTCTTGGTCTAAGGTTCCAAAGCCTTCAGAGAGTTATTCTTTTTTAAAGGTATCTTTAAGGAGTGCCTGGGTGGCTCAGTCATTAAGCGTCTGCCTTTGGCTCAGGTGATGATCCCAGGGTCCTGGGATCAAGTCCCCGTATCAGGCTCCTGGCTCAGTGGGAAAGCCTGCTTCTCCCTCTCCTACTCCCTCTGCTTGTGTTCCTTCTCTTGCTATCTCTCTGTCAAAAAATAAGTAAAATCTTCAATTAAAAAAATAGAGTTATCTTTAAATTATGTATCATGTGGATTGAATTTGTGTGTGCATGTGTGTGTTTGTGTGCTTGTGGTGTTAGCCTGACTCATCAGCCAACAGATATTTATTGAGTCCTACATGCCGGCCATTGTGCGAGGTGCTGTGCCTACCATGATGGACAAGACAGAGTGCTATGGCCAGGAGTGCTCTCACGAGCCTGTCTCCTCACCTAGAGAATAAACTTCGTCCAGGAAGAAGCCATGTCCAGATCTAAGAAATACTGGTTGAGTGGATGAACATTTTGAGAGCATTTTTCCATGTTATGGCATACTTCCTTGTAATCATTTTAATGTTTCCATGTTATTCTAAGCAGATGCACCATAATATTCATTTCTCTAAGAGCATTTTAAGCTGTTTTGAATTTTTTTTTTTTTTGCTTTAGTCAAGTAGCAATAAACTTCCTTGTACATATTTCTTTTCTTCCTCAGTATTTTAGGATTTGTTTTCTGTTATTGCTGCTTAAAGAAGAATTTCTTTTGTAAAGAGTAGAAATGACTCTTTTTAAAAAAAAAAAATGTGTAGTAAAGGGATACCTGGGTGGCTCAGTTGGTTAAGTGTTTGCCTTCTGCTCAGGTCATGATCTCGGGGTCCTGGGATGGAGCCCCACATTGGGTTCTCTGCTCAGCAGGGAGCCTGCTTCCCCCTCTTGCTCTGACCCTCCTCCTCCCCCTCTCTCTCTGACAAGTAAATAAATAAAATCTTTAAAAAAAAGTTTGTAGTAAAATACAAATAGCCTGAAGTTTATCATCATAACCATTTTTAAGTCTGCAGTCATTGTGTGAAGTATATTCACACTGTTGAGCGACTTATCTCCAGAACTTTCTCACCTTGCCACACTGGAAGTCCATACCCATTAACAGACAGCTCTGCCTTTGCCCCTTTTCCAGCCTCTGGCCATCACTGCTCTGCTTCCATCTTCTGTAAGTCTGACTACTCCAGATCCCTCATATAGGAGCAATCATACAGCATTGGTCTATTTGTGACCAGCTTATGTCACTCAGCATAATGTCATCAAGGTTCATCCATGTTGTCGCCATGGGTCAGAATTTCTTTTCTTTTCTTTTTTTTTTTTAAGGTTTATTAATTTAATTTATTTATTTGACAGCGTATGCAGAGTAGGCAGAGCAGCAGGCAGAGAGAGAGGGGGAAGCAGAATCCCCTGCTGAGCAGAAGCCTGATGTGGGGCTCAATCCCAGGACCCTGAGATCATGACCCAAGCCGAAGGCAGAGGCTTAACCCACTGAACCACCCAGGCGCCCCAGAATTTCCTTCCTTTTTAAGGCTGAATCATATTTCCTCATAGGACATAACACATTTTCCTTTTCCACTCATCTACTGATGGACAATTGAGTTGTTTCTACCTTTTGGCTATTGTAAATAATGCTGCTACCACCCTGGCGTACCGATACCTGTTCACACCCCTGCTTTCGATTTTTTTGGATATGCACCCTGAAGTGGGATTGCTGGACTGTATGGTGATTCTATGTTTAATGTTTGGAGGAACTGCCCTAGTGTTTTCCATAGCTGCTACTCCATTTTACACTCCCAACAGTGCGCAGAATTCAGATTTTTCCACATCCTCAGCAATGCTTGTTAATTTTGTTGTTTTTTGTTTTGTTTTGTTTGTTTTGCTGGTAGCCATCCTAATGGGCGTTAAGGTGGTATCACCTTGTGGTTTTGACTTAGGTTTCCCTAGTGGTTAGTGATGTCGAGCATCTTCTCATGTGCTTATTGGTCATTTGTACATCTTCTTTGGAGAAATGTCTATTCAAGTCCTTTGCCCAGTTTTAGATTGGGTTATTTGGGTTGTTGTTGGTGGTGAGCTGTAGGATCAGAGACTAGAAACATTTTTCGGACTCTCGGTAAAGACTGTGAAACGGAGCTCCGGGAGGGCGGCACCGTGCCACCGAGCTCCACGAGTGCACCTGTGATAGCTTGCTGGTATCAGTTAGTGCAATAAGAAGAACAGTTTGTAGGCAAAATATGGTACTGAGTTTTAATCTTAAGCTAGACTTTTCGATGGGGGCAAAAAGGGAAAGTTAGTCAAGAAGCTTCACCTCCATTCCACACTTCAGCAACAGCAGATGAGTGATTGTTCCCAGAAAGTTCCAGCCTCCCTGACTCATCAATTACTTGGTGTGCTGAGTATTGACATTCCAACCCTGTTGGTCCTCCTACAAAATGTTCTTTTTAAGGGAATTACATTTTTTTACACATCTTTACAACATTAATATTAACTATTAGGCTGTCTGTCATGCCTGTAACTCTTTTTGGCCCTATTGTTTTTTTTCTTCTAGTAATTCTAGGGCACACAAATGTGCAATCTTTTATTACTTTCTTCTGTCAACAAGCATCAAATGCTAAAAACAAATCAGATGTCTTGCTATATGATCTTTCTTTTTAAGTTTCAATTTTAGGAAATAAAAGAAGGCATCAATTACTCTTAAAAACGGCCCACTAGCAGTCACATTGTCTGCCATGAAATAAGAAAGATGTGCCAATTAGGAGACATAATTCTTAACTGCTTCCAAAATGCATACATTTTGCTTTGGGAAATGAACGTCCAATCTGAGAAGGTAGTAAATACATCCAATAAGCCAGTAAACTAGGCTACATCAGTACTAGACTTAGGAGTGAGATACTGGTATCTACTGTATTTTGATTTGGATCAAGTTTCAAATTTATGATTTTTTAAGAACACTGTTGTGTTTTTTATATATATATATAATATATATATTTATATATATATAAAATAAAATTATATATATTTATATATAATATATATATTTATATATATAAAATAAAATTATATATATTTATATATAATATATATTTATATATATAAAATAAAATTATATATTTATATATTATATATATTATATATATAAATAAAATAAAATTTTATATATATATATATATGTCAGTAATACCAATTGTCAGTAAATTGTCAGTAAATATGAAAGAACTATAATAGTAGAGAAATAGAGGCCAGAGCTGCAATGATGGCAGTTTCTATTGTCATCTTCCTGGCCTGCCCTGGAACATCAGATTCAGTTTTGGATTCAGTTTTGGACCCCTCTCTCTGATCAGGGCAGTGAGGGACATGGAGGGAAGAGTTCATGGGAATAGGGATGTTTGGTCCAGAGAGAAGACACGAGAGGACCCTTCAGCTGCTTTGATTATCAGAAGGGCTGGCAAGGAGAAGACTCCTGGAAGCAGAACTAAGATGAGAGTCTTGAATTCACAGGGAGGGTAGTTTCAAGTCCAGGATAAGGAAACACTTTCCAATTATTTGAGCTCTCCAGATAATTAGCGTGATCCAAAAGAGGACTGTGCCATCTCCGGAGACAGAGAGCCCCGGGGAGCCTTCACACAAAGCAGAGTGACTGTCCTAGACAATGTCATGGAGGAAATTCGGTCCTGGGCAGAGGGGAGGATCATGAGATGTGGGCTACTCAATTCCTTATAACCTGAAGATTCCTCGAGTGTGTCGTCTACCCTGAGAGAAACTTGATGGACGCCTGGTGTGGGGGGAGTCACCGAAGGGTAGGAAACCAAGGCTCACCTGCAGTAATGGCACTGGTCGTAAAGAAAAGATGGTTGACTGGCACCACCATTGTTGTGTTGTAGAGCTTCGTGGCTTGACTCAGGAACCTAGAGCAGAAGGCACTTACTGGAGCTCTGGCTTTAAGGAACGCTCAGCAATAAGTTAACAATAACATCAAGAAACGCATGTCCTTAAGCTACAACTACAAAGGGAGAGGAAGTGCAGTAAAAGGGCATTTCCAATCAGCAGTCATAGCTTATATGCGTCTGATGGATGAGATCAGATGTCAGGTTTTATGGTCTGTTTAAACCAACAACAGTAACAATGAAAAGCAATTAATCATATTCTGAGGCCACAGAAGTTTGAGTTGGAAGTGGTTCAAGCTGCTGGACCAGTATCACACTGGAGCTGATTCATGAGGATAGACCCTAGAATCTGTTAAATATCATATCTGGGGAATAGTGTAGCTATCCATTGACATGCCACGTGCCAAGAAAGAAGATGGAGGAGTGAGGGAATGTTTAACGTTTCGAAAACAATGCTCAGGGCTCCAGCTGCAGAGCACATGTGGGAGCTCGCCGTCTCTCTCCAGCCACCAGCGTGATTCCAGCCCCCACCAGGAAGTCGTGCTGCCCTGTCACTGACACCAACTGGACAATTAAAAAAAGAAAAGAAAAAAAAAAACAAAAACTAAAATGCTTAGGTCCTATTGTAGCACAGCTGAAAAAAAAATGTTTGTGGATAGAGCCCAGGTGTGCCTGAGGGGATGTGTGTACACAGGTGCCCATGTGCACACACTTACATATATGCACAAATCTATGAACAAACACTGCCTCGGGCGGTTTCGCTCGGTGGCCAGTCATACAGTTGGAGTGTGTTCCCCGCAGCTCCAGTGGGGCAGGGACTAGAAGAAGGGGGATGGGAGTGCGGGGTACCCTCCCTTCTGTCTGCCACTGAAATTCGTACAGCCAGTTGAAAGATAACGATGTTAGTCACGAAACTCCAAAAGATACTCTAGCCCAGCTGATGAACTCAGAAGAAGAAAGGGAGATGAAACAAAGTAGCAAGGGTCAAGCATGAGAAACACACTCATTCCCATAAGGAAACGACAAATGAAACAGTGGCCGAACACTGGGTTTCTTCAGTCCTTGCCCATGTCCGACTGGTGGAGGTTAGACTTGACTGCGGGTGCCCATGGAGGGAAGCTCTCTCTTCCGGAGGGTAGGCTCTGGTTTCCTGGCACCAGGATAGTGCTGTTGCAAAGCATTTTGGGATAAACAGAAAAATTCCTGGCTGACTGAGGACAGCCTCTGCAGGCAAAGGCATAATCACGAGTGAAATGGAAGAGAAGTGACTAGAGCAGATGGAGGTGGGGGGAGAGAATAACAGAAATCTCAAAAGTTCCATGTCACCACTATTAGGCCCCAAGAGAAAAATAAAACAATCATTCCGCGATCCCAGGGGTACAAAGAAAATTCTGGCCAAGCATGCAGTGTTCTGGGGAAAGGATTTCCCTCCCGGCCAAATGTCTGGTTTTGTCCATCCCTGGGCAATTAATGAGCCTGAGCTAGAGATGAAGGTGAAGGGTTCATGCATTTCCTATATTTAGAATGAAATCCTGGATGTGGACCTGCCCCTCTGATTTATTGCTAATGACAACCTGCATACGATGGATATTAATTACAAGCAGAAGAGCATCAGGAAAGTATCAAAGTGCACTTCGCTAGATTACGGCCATACTTTAGAACTCACAAGACATGAAGGCAGGGCTCAGTAAAAGCTTCTTATTGGGAACAAAGGAGAAAACAGGGCATGCTGGCTGAGGATCAGCTGTAGACCCCTCACCCTTAGAAACCAGTTACACCTCATGTTAATTATCAACGGACCCCAATAAAGATTAAGGCTCAGAGAAGCCCTGGAAGGTTGAACGGTGAGTGAATCTGCAGAAGCTAACTTACTTGACTTGGAAAACACAAGACGCGATCATGATGATAAACATGATATAGAAGATGGGATAAGTTAGCTGCGTTTTCTCCGTCACAGAAAAAGTGATCATGCCCGAGACGGCTTTTACCGAAATAACAGTTAGCGAGGCTGAAAAAGAAAACAAGAAACACAAATAAAAAAACATCGTTGAGAGAGAATGACACAGAAATATCTCCAGTTCACACAGTGGAGCAGTCGAGAACCCCCGTTAGCCTTTCGGAATGCAGGCTCCTGTGAGGCGGTGGTAGGACGGGGCTCCAGATGACGGGTAGCTCTCTCTAGAAGCCGCGCTGGACTCTGAATTTGCTTAAATCAGCTAAAGATGGGCTGTGCGAAGGGGTGCTTTTTATCTTTGCAGCAAGATGCTTATTTTCCAGCCCCAACTGTTGAAAGGATGCCGCAGAGGTTATAATTACTAGGAGATGGGATAGTAGAAAACAATGAAGTGGGGAGAGAAAAAAAGTCAGACAGTCCTTGTGACACGGAAGGGAAAATAACTATTAAACTATACTGAAAAAATTGAAAGCCAAACAGATGAGAAAAACTGGAACGTGGAAGTCAGTTCACTCTGTGAGTTTACTAAGAGTTGTACTGAGTCTCCATATGAGCCTTTTTGTTCATAAATGTCTAGAAGTTTCATGAAAAAACTTTTTTTCTTTTGACAAAGATGGTGATAGGAAGAGGGACCAGAGCTGAGTATGCATTTCTCCAAGTCAACCATAAATCTAAGATTTACATAAGCAGCGTCTATTCTCTATGCTAAAGAGGAAGCTACCCGTAGGAGAAAAAATTTTTCATAGGTTCCAAATAGCAATGAAATGACTTGATAAGTTTATAATGTGAAAGCAATGAAGCATTTTCTAGAAGCACCATGTCTCTGTAGGAAGAAAATAGTGTTTTCTTTTTGTTTTTGGTCATTTAATGTTGCTTGTAATTCCATAACTTAGCTGAAACCTACAGAAAGTAAAAAAATGATTTTTTACATGAAATCAAATAACTGTAAGACAAAGGCAATGAGAAGGAGAAACATTATCTTTGGTGCTGTTTGTCTACCAGGTCATAATATATCTGGGCTTTATCCCTTTAAGCTTTTGAATATTTTATATATATATATATGTGTGTATATATATATATATATATGTGTATATATATATATATATAAACACACACACACACATATGTATGCATATACATGTGTGTGTGTGTGTGTGTGTTAAAATAGCAGCTGATGGCTAACAAGGGAAAGCCTCTCATATCCTTTTCAAAAAAATGAAAATATACTTTAATTTGGAGAGTACTAGGTCATACTTCCAAATTAGGCATTTTCTTTCCATTAAAAGTCATAATTAACAGAGGAGAATAGGTGATAAATTCTAAAAACAAACCCCTAGTCTGAACAAAGAGGCCCTCCCATCCAGGCCCCTCTTCATCTTAAAATGTCTTTTGACCTCATTGTTTTACATGTTTTCTACAGATTATGACAATAGTCATACTTTAGCTAATCCAGGAATTTGAAATATGTACTGTGATGTGTGTCATTTGATGGTTTAAGTTTGTAAGGTTGGCTTTTGAGGGACCTTCATTTCCTCCTCAAAATTTTGCTTAAAATTAGAGCACAATGTGGGTATGGTCTTGTGTTCTGAACAGCCAGGTTTCCCAAAGGGATCATTAATGAGAAGAAGTTGAACACACTGTTCCATTAGCCTCATGACCTCTGGATTGCAAAGGCTCTTCAAGGTCATCTAATTCAACTACCATCTGATGTTAAATTATACTTAACTGTAAAACAAAAACAAAACTAGACTTCTTTATTAAACAGCCAAACCAGCTATCGGTTTGCTACAGTTAATCACTGTATTTTCAAAGCATGTACAGTCATCAACTGATTAATCACTCTTTATTGTAACTCTGCAAGTTACTTCAAGGCTGGTCACAAGTATTTCCGTTTTAGTTTCGGGTGGGCATGTGGTTAATGAGGACAGGTGAAAATACAAAATTTAAATGCATATATATATAAAAATATAAAGTGTTTGTGTATCTTCTCTTTTTATATACAGAAAAAGAGGCTAGGAAAAATGCTAGAAGAAACTATATCCAGACACTATCAGTGGTTATCCCTAGGCACTTGGATTATGAATAATCTTTAAACTCATTATTTTGGGGGCACCTGGGTGGCTCAGTGGGTTAAAGCCTCTGCCTTCAGCTCGGGCAATGATCCCAGGGTCTTGGGATTGGACCCCCCTCCCCATATTGGGCTCTCTTCTCAGCAGGGAGCCTGCTTCCCCCTCTCTCTCTGCCTGCCTCTCTGCCTGCTTGTGATCTCTGTCTGTCAAAAGAGTAAATAAAATCTTAAAAAAAAAAAACCCTCATTATTTTAAGCTATAAAAGTTTACATGTTCCTTTAAGAAAATTTGGAAAAATGCAGAAAAGCCTGGAAAGAAAAATGAAAATCCCCTGCAATCTCAACACTCATCCCCAAATCATTTTTAACATTTGGGAGTATTTCTTCATAGCTATTTTTCCATCTCTATGTACGAATATATTGTAATATATGAATCATACAGTATATACTATTTAGGAACCTATTTTCCATTGCCATTAAGTATTTTCTATGTCATTAAATATTCTTCTAAAGCATGATTTTCATTAGCTGTGGAGTATATCTTTCCATCAATATATACTTTATCTTGGCAATTCCCTATTTTTGCATGTTTAGGTTGCATCTTTTTTTTTCTTTTTTGGTATTAAAAATGAGGCTGTGATGAATATTCCTGAACATAAATTTTGCATACCACTCTGCCAACTGCCTAGGAAAATCACCTAAAGGGGACTTTTTTAACAGCTGCTGTTCCTCTGAAATATACTGAAATATTCTGTCTTCTATAGAATACCAGTCACACTCCATCATACTGTGCAGCAGTGCTCAGTTACATGAATTTTTATATGTTTTCTTGATGTGTCTCTCTGTCTTCTTAATTCTCATCAATAGACATGACAGCAGTGCCATCTTTACCTGACATAGCTGACCTGTGTTTGAAACCTGGCCTTCTCCGTTCCCTCCTACTTCATCAATTGCTCCTTCCAGAGACTTTCCCAAATTGCCATCAATGTCTCCTTATTAGAGCCATTAACATTTCATTTATTAATTTGGCTTCTCTACATCTGAGTATGCAGAGCAGAGAGAAGGACTTCCAAGCTTTCCCAGCTTCCTGATGAGCTGAAAGCATTCTGCCTGGAGTCTTAAGATTCCTTTAAGGAAGAAGACTGCAGCCACGGGTCTGGGTGCTACCCACCAGAAGCCAGATCTCTTTCTTCCCAGTAGCCCTCACTTTCTCTTTTCTTTTTTAGTTCATTTTTTAACCTGTTACACAAACAATAATGACAATAAAGTAAAAAAAAAAAAAAATCCACCTGCCTACGGCCTCTCATTCATTTCCAGCGTACGCCTCATGCGTGCTTTTAATCACAACAGAGGTAGGTATGCAGCTGTGTGCCACTTTTTCGTTTAACCCAACACTCTACATATTTTTCAAAGCAGCTGCAGGATTTTCACAATCACTTTTTTCTTGTAAAAGTCATTGCTGATCATTGCAAAATGCCCAGCCAGCACAGGTAGGCAGAAAGAGAAGAGTGGGTGTCTTTTTCCCTTTTCTTACTGTAATGAGAACACTTCCTGGTTTTCACCAATGGATGTGCTCCAGCTTCTGGGTTAAGAGAAATAGGTTTTTTCCAGTGTCACAGAAGCAGAGAGGAGAATGGTGATGGTCGGGGGCTGGAGCAGGGCCAGCTGGGGTGATGTAGGTCAAAGGGCCCAGATGTTTGGCTTAGAAAGTTCTGAGGACCTAAGACACAGCTCTGTGGCTAGACTTAATACTGTGGTACTGTGTACTCCAAGGCTGCTGGGAGATCTTAAGCATTCTCACTGCACACACACAAAACAGTGAGATATTAACGAAATGGGGTGATAACTGTGTTCATTACCTTGGGCTCGGTAATCACTCTACAATGCAGATGCACATCAAATTATCATGTTGTGTACCTTATAAGTATATGCTGTATGTGTCAATTATTTCCCAATAAAGTGAAAATTATTAAAAAGAGAGAAATATGTTTTTAAGACACAGGTATCTCTATTCCGATTGCATTTCGAATTCTTTATTAGGAATGGATATTAAACTTCAGCATGTCTTTTCAGCATCTATTTACATGGTATTTCCCTTCTGAGTCATTAACATGATGAACTATGTTAATGGATCTCTTAAGGAACCATCCTTTCACTCCCATAATTAATTTAGTTAACTCAAAATGTTTACTTTGTACTCACTGTCCTCAGTTCTAAATAATTATATACAGCATAACACACGACTGAGTCCTCATAGAACTAATCTGGTGGGGGAAGATAACTAGAATATAAGCATATGAGTAGACTATGCAAGTACAAATTATTATAAGTGTTTCAAAGAAAAAGAACTAGAACTTTTTTCAAAGAAAAAGAACTTTTCAAAGAAAAAGAACATTAAGACCACTTGGTGTTAAGTGAAGAATGATTTTCCTTTCTGGATTCTACCTGCTAATTTTTTATTAGAGACTTTTACATTAATATTCAGTAGGGAAATTAGTCCACGGTATTCTTTTTGTGTGCTGTTTGGGATCAGTATTTATACTGATTATACAAAAAAAAAAAAAGGTGCAAACTTTCTTCTTAGGTTCTCAAGTAGTGTGAACAACATCAGAATAATCTGTTTCCTAAAGATTTAAAGGCCTGGGGTGCCTGGGTGGCTCTGTCGCTTAAGCGGCTACCTTCAGCTCAGGTCATGATCCCAGTGTCCTGGGATCAAGTCCCACAGCAGGGAGCCTGCTTCTCCCTCTGCCTCTGCCTGCCACTTTGCCTGCCTGTACTCTCTCTATCTCTCTGACAAATAAATAAATAACATCTTAAAAAAAAAAAAAGATTTAAAGGCGTTACCATCTAGGTTGAAAGTAAAAGTACATAGTCCTGTTATTTTCCGGATGTAGCTTCTATTTGCTCCATAGTTATTTTCCTTTAAAAAATTAACAATCTAACCAAGTTTTCATATCTGTTTTCAATTTTATTTCTAATTTTGGGTATTCGAGATTTTTTCTTTTTTTGGTCTTATGGAGGATCTATTTTAATGTCTTTTAAGAACAGATTCTTGGGTTTATTTATCAATTCATTGCTTTTCTAGTCACTATTTCATTAATTTTTACATTTATTAATTGCTCCTTTCTGCTTGCCTCAGCTTTATTTCAGTGTTTTTCTTCCCTAAATTTTTGAGTGGAATGCTTGACTTACATTGAAGTTATGAATTTCCTTCTGCATACAGCTTTCATCATAAACTATAGGTTTAATAGTAAGTGTTTTCATAATAATTTTAAAAATACATGCTGCAATGAAATCTTGGTTTCTTCTTGGACCCAGCTGCAGTTTAAGAGTAGTGTTAACATTTCCAGATGTTACGGTTTTACTCATTTCTATTTTTGTTATTATTTTGTTTTTCTTTCACTGTGATCTGAGAATGTGGTCTGTGCTATTTCAGCTTCCTGGAATTCATCAAGGATTTCTTTGTGGCCAATTATACGATTAACTTTTGTAAAAGTCACACAGGCATTTGAAAGCAGGTGTATGGTCTGCTTTCAGGATTTAGAGTTCAACATTAGATCAAAATTAAGGACTCATTCCTCTATTTTTACATACCTTTCTGTCTACCTACCTTCCATGTGCTAAGAGAAGTCTCCTACTCCTGTCATATTTCTGGGGATGTAGTTTTCAAAAGAGCTGCTGTTCTAGTCTCCTGACGCCTCCTGGTGTTGGCGTCTCCCCTTCCCAAGCCCCAGGCCCACCCTGCTGAGCCCCTAAATACTAATGTGGGGCCTCCAGGAGCCTCTGTTGCATTTAATGCTCCCACCTTGATTTTAGCTCAGATCATCATAGTATGGCCTTCTGCTTTCTTTTACTTTCAAACTGAGTTACTTTTTTAGATGATTGTTCTGTATGAAGCCAAAATATTTCACAACCAGCAAGGGGCAATTAGAAAGGGCACTATTTCTATATCTCTCACAGATCTGAACCAGACAATACTGGCTGAATCCAATTTCAGAATCTTTATCAAAATCAATCTGGGAATTTTTCTAAAATCCAATTTGGCAATCTTTCTTTATTATTAGGTAAATGTACCCCATTTACATTTATGATCATAACTGATGTGTCAGATCTTAATATGGTTATCTTACTTTCCTATTTAAAATTTCCTTAAAAAATAAATAAAATTTCCTTGATTTTTCAATATTTTCCTATATAATGTACATTTTGTCTCTTGTTTGCTTTTGTTCTCCCCATCTGGTACTTTGGAAAGAAACAAATATAGAGTTCTTTTTCTTTTCATTTGATCAACAGCATACCTAAACATAGTATAAATTTGTTTCTACAAGTAACTATCAGAAATACAAATCTTCCGATTCAAAGGAGTGAACTAGTTCATGAAATGGAAAAAAAAAAAAAAAAAAAAAAAAAGCAAGCTCCAGCCCTTCCTTAACATGAGGGCTGCTACCTTTCCCAGTGGTATAAGTACAATCATAGAGTCATAGCAAACAACACATGACACATGGGTCATCTTCTCTCCAAAGAAGAGGCAAAAGAAGAATTATAAATAATTTTTTAAAAGGCAATTTTCCAATGATTAGTGAAAACTCCTAGTGTTGATTTATATAGTGTGTGTGTGTGTGTGTGTGTGTGTGTGTGAGAGAGAGAGAGAGCGAGAGAGAGAGAGAGGAGGAAAGCACGTAGATTTAAAAATATATAGTGGGCTTATAGAAGCAACGGTTTTCAAATTTTATAAGGTGCCTCTGGAAAGAAAAGGAGATGGGCAGATCAACAATAAATGAAAGAAATGTTGAAGTTAAGAAAATCATACCGCTGACATTTACATTTCTTATTAGCCATATTTTATTAAAGTTTTTTTTTTTAAACCTATAAACAAGATAGGTCTTTTTTTTTTTTTTAAGATAGGTCTTGATAAGTAATTCCTGATACAAAAATTTCAGTTAGGATGGTTCATATGTTCCTCTTTTAATAATTTTCAATTATACACTAAGAAAAACAATCCTCAAATTGTTAGAGAGCAAATAAAATTACCAAGAAGTAAAGACCCTTCCATAGGTTTTTAAAAGAATTAAACATACCAATTCTAGCCATGTGACACTCAAAATAGAACTTGCATAGTTGAGACTGGGCTTCTTTTTAACAGATCAGAGTTCAAAAGCAGAAACGATGAGAAAGGAATAGGATGCTTGAGTCTCTTTCCTGACTCTGCGAGGCGCGATTCGAGGATTAGGAAACCGCGCACGTCCTTACCTAGAAGTGCCACCAGGGTTAGCAGAATCACCATGTGCTTCATTCCCTTTCTCTTGTGGAAATACAGCAGAGTGCAGAAAATTAATATTTCTAAAATCTAGAAATGAAAAAGATGTAAAGAGTAAGCTGTAAATTATTTTATGCGAAGTCTTCAGAATGCCACACTTCTCTTTCTGATTTTGTGAGATCTGAGGATGCCTGGCGTTCCTAAGGACAATCATAAACATACAAGAACAACATAAAGAGCCTCAGCCATCCAGACCCAGAGCTCTCCCCTCACCTATATGCCAGTGACCCTGAGATGGGCCACTCCAGTCTCTTTTATCCAACTATCTTCTAGGCATCTCCCTATGCGTGTTTCATAGCCATATCACACAAATATGGGCAATGCTAAACTCCTGAGTGCCTTCCTTTCCTACCTGTGCCTCCTGGGGCCTTCACCTACACCAAAGAATGGCATCAATACATACCTCGTTGCACCAGCTGGTAACTCCTTCCTTTCCCCGACTCCCTGTCACCTTCTCTCTAACCACTGCAAGAGTTTCCATTTTGTCTCTGATTCTACTCTTGCCTCTACCATCCAGCCATTAAGCAGCCAGAGGAATCATTTCAAAGCAGAATTTGAATAATGACATATGACATTCGTAGAGAACATATATGATACACACATAAGGTATTTACATAGTGTGACAAGTAGTCACATGCCCTGCATCCAGCCAGAGACAGAGAACCTACCACAGCCTTTGAAGTCTCCTGCACACCTCTCCCCAGTTGTACTCTCCTCCTTCTAGGATCCCTCCAGCAACAACTACAAAGAATTTTTGTGTATACTTGTCACTTTCTTTATAGTTTACTACCTTTTATGTGTTCTCAAATAGCACCCTGTTTATTTTTGCATATGTTCGGACTTCATACATGCAGAATCATACTTGTTTTCACTTCCTGGCTTTTCACAGTGCACTGTTTATGAGGTCTGTCCAGGATGATACATGTAGTAGAAATATATGTTAAATCCAGTCATTCTTTTGCTCAGACCTCCTATGGTTTCCTATCCCACTAAGAATAAAATCCAGGATGGCCCACATGATCCAGCCACAGAAGGCCTCTCCCCCCACCCTGCCCAGTTCTCTGCAGAGCTCAGATGGCACCTGCCTTTGGGGCCCCTGCACTAGCTACTGGAGTTGCTTGGAATACTCCTTCCCCGATCTCCCTACAATGGCTCCTTCCAATCACTCCAATTTCAGCTTAAAGATCACCTCTTCCAAGATGTCTTCTCTGACTACTCTGACTTAATAGAGCCACCCCTCATCTACTGTAGAGCATTTTATCGTCATCTGGACTATTTCCTGTTCATCCATTTATGTGTTTCTTTTCGGTCTCTCTGACCGGCACACCGGTTCTGTGAGAACGCGGACCTTATCTGTCCTCTTCACCATGGTCTTCAGTGCTGGGACACTGTCGGTCACCCAATACGTATTTATGGAATTAATGAATAAATTACACTTCATATTTATTATGAGCAACTTGCTGAAAAACAGACCTAATGTCTAATAAACTGAGTGTTCAATAAATATTAATTGACTGAATGTCTAAAATTTTCCTACCCTTAAGAAAACTCTAATGTAGTTTTGAGTTCTCAATTTTATTTTTGTTTTAACGTTTTTTCTTTTTTGAAGTCCTTAAGATAACCTGAAGCAAAGCTATCTTTTTTTTTTTTTCAAGAAGGCAGGATCCCTGGACTGAAATCATAAATATGAATGTTTACTTTTCTGATGTCAGACAAGTAAAAACACCACCGCTATTTTTTTTTTTTTTTAAGTACTAGAATTAGGGACCTCACTACATTTAGGTCTGCATTTTACTTGGAGCCCCCTCTAAATCAACATAAATCTCTACTGTTTCAGTTCAAGGTTTGCTTGTTTTTTTTTGTTTTTTGTTTTTCCCTTTAATCCTCTGTAGGCACGGAAAGCAGCAGGACCATATCTTCCTCATTTAAAAACCTTTCATCTCATATGGGAGATTAAGTCATTCCTCAGTCTTTTCCTGGTTAATTAAACTAATTACTTTAACTTTTTCTTATAGGACTTATTTGCCAGGCCTTTAATTTAATCAAATCATGCTGCAAAAGCTATTAAACTCCTATCATTTTGCCTTCCCCAAAACTGCCATCAAAACGTTGGATGTCTCAATGTCTGTACAGATCACCAACTGTTAACAGAAATATCCCTGTTGGCTTCATCCGCCCCCTTCAACCGCAGGCTTCCATTTCTCACGTGATATGATCACAAACGACTCACAGCAGAGTTAGGGACCCCATATTCGTTGCTGGAGAGAAGGAGGATCTTCCTGCCCTAACGCACAGAGTGTATTAGTTAAATCTATTAGCAAGAGGATGATTACTTTTGGGAGGAGGTGGGGGAAAACGAGGGTGGTTATCAGTTCAAATATCACATATGACATTTTTCCAAATTCCATCTCTGTGGCTCCAAATAAATAAAACATGAGCTCCTGTGACTCAGAATGACTGTAGCTGCCCTATGTTCTGTCTTGTTGCAAGAGGTCATGGAGCTCCCAGGAATAAAATATTCAAGCGGCATGAATTCATGCTAGTTTTTTTTCCTGCACGCAACATTTTTCCCCCCTCTCTGAAAATACCAATATTAAAGCAGCTGTGATTTCCACAGGCTGGTGAGACCCAGGAGGAGGCTGCTTTGCTGATCGCTACCTCAGAGGTCAGAGATAACAATAGCACTGACAGCAGGCTTACCACTTGCTAAACTTGCATTAATTTGTTGAATCCTCACAACTCCAGGAGGCGGGTACTATTATCCCCATTTGACAGAAGAGGAAACCAAGGCTTAGAGGGGTTAAGTGATGTAGGTCTGGTACACAGAATAATGGCCTCCCAAAGATGCCCGCGTTCTAATCTCTGTAACTTGTGTGTACGTTACTCTCCGTGGCCAAGGGGCCTTGGATACGTGAGTAAGGCTACGGACCTTGAGATGGGGGAGATTATCCAAGTGAGTTTGAAGTAATCGTATGAGTCCTAACAAGCAGAGAAACTTCCCAGGCCTGGTCAGAGAGAGAGGTAACGTGAGAAAGAATAGAAGCAAGGAATGTTCGTGGTCTCAAGCCGCTGGGAAAGGCAAGGAAACGGATTCTCTTCCAGAGGCACTAGCAAGGAATATGGCCCTGCCAATACCTTGATTTTAGTCCAGTGAGACCCACGCTGGACTTCTGACCTTCAAAACTAAGACGATAAATCTGTATTGTTTTAAGATACTAAGCTTGTGACAATTTGTTACGGAGGTAAGAGGAAACTAACTGAGGTTTTGGTATCTGACATCTTTCCAGGGGAATAGAATCTTCGGGATGAATTTTCTGAGTTGACTCTGGGCTTTCTGCATGGATTCTCTAATCTCATTAGATTTAAAGGCACTCACCTCCTCGTTTTCGGCAGTGAAAAGAGCACTGGCCAATGGGATGATGTGACAAAAGAGAGACACAAAATCACACCACTGGGTGCCCCACTTGCAGTACAAAAATCTGACCCCATGTTTACCTCATCTTCTCTCACCAAGTCCTTTCTTGAAAGTCAAGACTTTGAGAAGACTTCCTTGGGGGGGAAGAAGAAAGAGCTCTGCCAAGGCTCTCCTTAGGATCAAGTGAGGACAAAGATGTGATCCTCAGTGGTCAGCTTTTACTAATTCTGCATAGAGGGGTCTGTACTGAAATGGACTGGAGCGTGCACCCTGGAGGTGGGCTCCCTGGTTTTGAATTCTGGTTCTGCCACTTAGTACTTATGGGACCTTGGACAAATTATCTGCCTCAGTTTCCCGATCTACTGCAGAGGAAAAGGACAGAAGGGAGTCAGAGCTCCGCACAGAGCTCGGCCTGCTCCGTAAGCGGGGCCTACAGCTACTGTTCACGTGCAAGTGCTGTATGTATTCCGACGGCAAAGCAAATGAACCTCATGAGATACAGAGTGACGTCTGTGGGAAACAGCTCTTTTTCCCTTCAGGTTTTTGACACCTGGTGGTGGGTTCTGAAGCAACTCTGCTGGAAAGGCTGACTTAATAATAATCAACTTCAGGGTCTAGAATTACCCCAAACAACAGGGTTTCGCCGCTGCTTCTGCGGATTTAGTTTTTTGTCCGGTGGAGGGAAAGTGAGCACCATGGAGATTATTTTGTGAAGGATCTTATGTTCATGACCCAAGTTTCCGCCCAAATGCTCTGCTGGAAAGTCTGGGTGGGCAAAAGGGCCACAACCAAGCCAGCCAAAGAACACGAAGTAAATGAGGGTCAGGGCCGAATTTCCTCATGCCGGCTCTGCATCCCGCATAGATGGGTGTCACTCAACCAAAGGTTGAGGTCCTTCGAGGAAAGGACACCATGGTCGGCAAGTCTGTTCCCTTCCTAAAGGACTTCTGGCTTTGAATATGTTAACAGAGGTGAATCTCTCAGACAGGGCCATGTTATACAGCCGCTTCCCTAGCAAGTTTAAGCTCCAACATGAACTTGTTTTTGGTTTTTGACAAAGCAGCGGGTGGGGCCGCCCATCTATGAATACAGGCCGGGAAAGGCCATGTTAGTGGGTGAGCAGAGGATGCGTCATTCTTCCCTGGCCAGTTGACACCGGGCTTCCCAAATCCTCTTCCTTCCAGAAAAAGAATGAGCTCAGAGGATAGGCTCCTGGGCTCTTGTTTCTGAGGCTTCCAGCTCGTGCATGCCTGAAAGGTAACCTGGACATCCACCTGGGACAGGTAAGCCCACGAATCAAGGAGATGCTATCGGCCTGCTGGGTTACGATTTTATGGTCCCCTTTCAAGAAATGGAAAACTTATCCAGACTTTAAAATATTTTTACTAATGGTATTAGTTATTTGATCCGTCCTGAAAAGCACTTCAGGTACTGCATTTATCCTTGGTGTAATCCAAGAACAGCTAGATGAATGACACTTCAAAGAAGAGCCTTAATGGCCATAATTATGATCTTTGCAGTCATGGTTGGGAGAAACAGCACAGAGACTGCCACCTCCAAGGATTAAATATTAATTACTTCAATGCTTAACAGATTCAAATCCAACTTCAGCTCAAGATCTTAGCATATAATTGATAACTTCTAGAGCCTTTAGAGATGCAACATATAATGGATTAAAATTCCAAATTAAGATAACGTAGATAATTCCCTTTAGAATCTACAGCCAATAGAGTTATTCAAATGTGACTTTATTGGGGCACCTGGGTGGCTCAGTGGATTAAGCCTCTGCCTTCGGCTCAGGTCATGATCTCAGGGTCCTGGGATCAGGCCCTGCATCAGTCTCTCTGTTCAGCAGGGAGCCTGCTTCCCCCTCTCTCTCTGCCTACTTGTGATCTTTCTCTCTCTCTCAAATAGATAAATAAAATCTTTTAAAAAAATTAAATCAAATGTGACTTTATTACAGATTTATTTTATACTATCTTATAAATATCTGAAATTAGTTACATTTTTGGGTGACATTTACTTTCAAATATACTTTCATTATTTTATAGGAATACGGGCCTCTCCCAGGACTCTAAAATCCCTGTTACAGGAATTCTTTTCTAGACCCTGGGTGTCTAATCAGTTGAATGAATTAGTGAATAAATGAATGAATGAATTTAAGAGTTGACTTTGGAAAGCTGCAAAAAATGCAAGTAATGCCAGAGGCTTTTTTTAAAAATGGAAATTTAAGGTTTAATAAAAATTGGTTTGTTCTTTTCAATGTTTCCTCTGTTATTAAAACAATACAAGATATGTCATCATCAAACAAGGCTGTTTATTCAGGAAATTAAGTCTTGATGCAACTTTAATCTCCAAAGGATTCAACTCAAGCTATTCATTTTCTGGTCACAGAGTATGTGACCCTTTTCTTACTGGCTTAAGAATTTGTTTTGCCTTGTAGGCAAAGAATAATAACACATTAGTAGGACTTCAAGTCTAGGCTACTATGAAACACTTGATAAGTGCTTCTAGAGCCTTGGATTTGATTGATGAAATCTGTTCAAAGGTTAGGTCTTGTGGATAAGCAGGAGGATTACAATGGGGCAGAGGGGAGGCACAAAGTGTGATAGGCCCAGGGAAGGCTAATCTGAGCTGGAAAGTCTAATCCTAAAGGTTGATGGAGAGCAGGAGGAAGGGAAGGCTTCTAATACAAAAAAGAAGAGAGTCCAGGGGAGAAGATATTGAGTTCAATTTTTGAGATGATACATTTGAGGAACCTATGAGACCTCCAGGCAGGATGAGTAATAAGTGGACAGATGAGAATATAGATCTGCAACTCAGAAGAGGACTGGGAAAGAGGTGTAGATCTGGATTTAGAGGTCTTCCTATAGGATGATGGGGTTGGCAATGGGATCACCCAAGAAAACCCTGGAAGAGTATGTAGCGTGAATAGATTAAGAGTGACTGGCACAAGAGAAGGAGGTTCCCACCAAGAGTATGGGATGGATGGTCAGAGAGGAAGAGGAGAAATAGGGAAAACAAACAGAGAAAGCTAGGAAAGAGAGGGGGTCAAGGAGATGTTGGGTCATGAGTAAATGCCGCACAAGGTTCAAGAAGAAGCAGAACCAAAAAAGCAATTCCACTTGGCAATTCGTGGGTGCGGGGGGAAATCTACCAGATTAAAATGAGTGAAGAGTGACCAGGAGCTGGGAAAGCAGAGGGGAGAGTGGAATGAGGGGAAACAGGACAGTTTAAGACAGAATGTGTAAAGATGAGGATTTTTAAATGATTTTTTTTTAAAGCAGAGAAACCCAAGTATCTTTGTTGAGTAAGAAAGGAGCGTAGTGGGAGGCTAGAAAGAGAAAACACCTGTAAGCATTTGTGTTCCAGTGGTCAGAATTCTATATCAGAGATGGCAAGATACATAGAATTCGTGTCACACAGACTAAAGACTGTCAGATAATAATGTAGTGCCACATAGTCTCCACTGTAATATTCTGGGTTACAGTTAGAATGAACTTCACAAAAAAAACATGTCCCTACAAATCCCAATGTCACATCTAGAACAATAGGTGTATGAAGTAGGGTCATATGAGTTTCCTGTTACAGTGGCAGAGGACTAGACAGATAGCTTTTTGAAGTCTCTTCTAATCCTAAAGATGTGTGATTCTCTGTGCTTTGATTCTTTTTGTTGAATTCACAATTATTTTACTAATATGGTTCTTGGTTAAATGCTCACGTTGTCTACCCCAGTTTTCTTCTCACCACCTGCCCTTCCTGAACATACTGATTCTTCACCCTAAACCAACTTCTGTAACAAGTTACACACCAACTACCTCTAGCACATCCTCTCTATACCCACTGAATACAATCACTGAGTCAAATAAAATACCCCAATTAGTGCCTTCAAATTTCTACATCAGCTCATTCCATTCTTTCTTTTACACATCTCCCAGTATTATCCTACTGCTGTCTACTTCTCCCCAGACAACCTGTTGCATTGGTCTCAATGAATTCTTTTTTGGAAGAAAATCTCTATCTCGAATAAAAGTCAGCGAAGTTAAATGTGTCTTCAGGCATTTCCCTTTGACCTAGGAAGAGAGTTTTTTGGGTTTGTTTTTTACTTTGAGTTGTCCTAAAACATGCTGCTCTGGAATTTGCTGGATTAAATATTGTGGAAATTGTTTCAGTGACAAGTCACCCCCAGGAATAGGATACTCAGGAAACTGCGGGTGTTCTATTGTTGATTTAGTGTCTCAAATACTTTGGTCTTGGTCAAATATATTTACAATTTAATGAGATTATTAATGCTGAGAAGACAAGACTTTATTCATTTGCTAACATCTGCATTACCAGTGGCCTAGATAATATAACTTCTGGGATAGTAAAATGTTTAAGATTCTTACCACATAGATCAGGAACTGCCAGCCAACAAAGTAATACTGGACTGTTCTTGCAGAGATAGACTGATTTCTATCTGGAGCAAAGTTCACCAATAAATATGTTCCCGCAAATGCCAATGTCATACCTTTAAATAAAATTGAAAAGACAAACCAAGTTGAAAAGGGATATTTGAGCTTTTCATCAATGCAAATATTACTTGCAGACTGAGAATTACTTATAAAACTGCCTATAGTCCCTCCCTATTAAAATACGATGCATCAGGGGCACCTTGGTGGCTCAGTTGTTAAGTGTCTGCCTTCGGCTCAGGTCATGAACCCAGGGTCCTAGGATGGAGCCCCACATCAGGCTCCCTGCTTGACAGGAAGCCTGCTTCTCCCCTCCCTCTGTTTGTGCTCCCTCTCTTGCTGTGTCTCTCTCTCTCTCTCTCTGTCAAATAAATAAATAAAATCTTAAAAAAAATAAAATAAAATACGATTCATCAAGCCATCCCTAGCTAGCATCGTGCATTCACTTGATGGCATTGTCTTTAAAAGGAGGATAAGGGCCAGGGAAAGGATGGGGTAGGGCATAACTTCTGATTTTTCTTTGTTGTTCCAGATGAATCCTAGCCTCTTCAGAAAACCTTTCTCAAAGATGGGAAAGATCAGAACACGTGCATTTGGACACATGAAAACATATGCAAGCTGGTTGTTTGTTTCTATGTGGACCAGTAAGTACATGATAGATCTAGATCCATCAGAGCCCAGAGAGTGGGGAAGTCCACCACTTGATGACCTGATAATCTACTCTGCACTTCCTCATCTTTGAAGCCTTTACACACACACACACACACACACACACACACACACACACACGATTTTACACTTTGAAACTGGTAAAAGATCCCCTTCATTCATCACTGCCATGTTTTGAAGTCCTTTTAGCAGAAATAATAAAGGTGAGTGTTGGCTTTGCTAAAAGATATATTTCATCCCATGTAGAATCTAGAATTCTAGGGGTAACTTAGTAAAATATCCACATTATAAACCTATGTAAAGAAATGTGTTACTGTCATCCCTTTCACAGTACTTAATGGAAAGGAATCTGTGTGGAAAGAGGGGTCACGTAAAGACGAGTAAGGGGGTCCTTGACATTCCAAATAACACTGAAAACTGCTTATTTATTAATAATTGGCAGAGAAAAACTGAGGAAAGTAGCATTTTTCAGACAGCACCCTTGAAAACCGAATTCAACTTGTTTCATCACTAAGGTCAGCATTGCTGTGTGTGTAATTTACAACCAGCATTGACTCCAACCTGAAGCAATCTGTTTTATTTATAAAATCGCATAACTGGAAGACACCAACTTCCTGCTCCTCTTAACCAGTGATTTAGGGTTTTGAACTCTTATTTCTGAGAACAAACAGCCTTTGGCTTTTCACAAAAGCTAGATGATAGCTTTCAAGGTATTGTAGAAGCTATAAAATAAGCTTCCTCTAATGTAAGAGCTTACTCTGTAATACTTATGAAGGCAGAAATTATACACAAAAAATTTTTTTTCACTTCAATACTATTTTGTTATTTTTTTAGCATTGTTATTCCCCCCCGAATGCATTTTCCCCCGAATACATTCCCCCCTGAATACATAAATGAACAGCTCACACATCTTCACGTTTGTCCAGCATATTCCTTCGTATACACAAAATTTTAAAAGCTACTTCTACTGAGAATTTTAAAAATGAAAAAATCCAATATATATTATTAAGCATTGCAATAAAAGGAAAATAATAAACTTTGCAGGTACCCAAGAACTTGGGCAAAACTACTGGTCAGCCCCACCTTTTCTTTGGAAAAGAAAAACAGATCTTATAATTGTTCAATATTAGGTTGCTAGGAGGATGGGATTCTAAAAAACAAAACAAAACAAAACAAAAAAACCCCCCAGATTTCTAAACTTGGTATAGTGATGTAGAATAAATGGACTGAATACAATTTGGATTCAATTCAAATCTTGGAGACTTCCAAGCTTTCTTTTGTGAAATCCAAATTTCTTATTTTTATTGAGATCCTCTGCCAGTGATTTTTTAAAAAATCTCCACTAACTGTATCTAGTGTCCTTACATTTCTTTATTTTTAAATTTAGTTTTGATTGGGTAACATGAGCATATGGTAAAAAATTCAAAAGACACACAAGGGTGGTGAGTAAAAAGGTAAATCTCTCGTACACCCTCATGGCCCACTAGTTCCCCTCCTGGAAGTTAATACTGCCACCAATTCTTTGATTTCCCTTTTCAGAGGTGTTTTACACTGGTGTGTGAGAGAGGGCACATGTTTGAGTTTTCTACACAAATGGCAGCATATTGCATACACTCTTCTGTACCTTGCTTTTGTTCTATGTAGCAGAACATCCTGGAGAACATTTCACATCAGTGTATCTAGGGCAGCCTCATTCCTTTTAAATCAGCATGATGTCCCATTCTCTGGAGGGAGTGTTATTTAACTTAACTTTCCTACAGGGTCCCTGTTTCCCATCTGCTTCCACATTTGCATACTCTGCCCATTTCTACCAATGTAGATCTTCAGTGTGTTTCAAAACTCCTTGAAAACAAATAAAATGACTCACGATTTTGCAATTATACTTTTAAAATCCTTCTGCATGTGCATTATATCACCGGAGCCCCATGTCACTGTGGGTCTACTTAATGACTCTAGGGCAGATCAGTAGGTCACCCATTGTTTCTTCTTAGTAACTTTAATTTCAGCTTCCTCTGACAATTACAGAGGTAGTTCCAGAGAACGGCTGTTACATGTTTGTTTACGGGGTGTCGTTTGTATTTGTCTGTGTGACTCAAATCCTTTATGGATCATGTGCCCAGGTTTCCTGAGTGTTTAAAAGTGTTGAAGATGCTCATTAGCAGCTTCTTATATAAATTTCCTTAAAATGCATTTATACCCCATATTTTTCTAAAAGTGGCATGAGATGTCTTTTCCTAATATTTTTATTTCAGTAAAGCCACAAATATTCTTTCATTGGAAAAACACAGGTCTCCCTACATTAGAAAACTTGCTAGTTTACCTTCTACTGGTCCGTTTGCCCAAGAGAGTCATCTGGAAACATTAAGATACTCAAGGAGGGGAAGCTGCACTTGGTCTGCTCTTTGCCCACATAAATGATTAAATTCCAGGTCAAAACTTGGATCATGAAAGTCTAAACCACGCTGAAACTGCCCCCACAGAATTTAAATTTCACTGCTGCTTGCCGGCTAGAAAGGCTTAGGCATGTTATTTATCTCTCTGTGACTTAGTCTCTTCCTCTCCAGGTACAAATTAATTGCCACACCTGCTAGATTCCAGGAATTTGGTTGGACAAGAAGAGCTGACTGGATTTGAAGGTTCACCTGGAGGCCTGATGTGACAGAGGGCGCTGACACAGAGCTACCTCAGGATACTGACCACTCGGAGTCCAAAACTATCTCAGTTACGCTTAAAATTTAATTGAGCATTGGCAGCTCTTTCTGGGTCCCGTCCTGCGCTATCGTGAAAGCACCTTTTTGCTTGAGGCAGGTCTGAAACCAAAAGAGCCAATCTGTTCTCTCAACCAGAAATGACGTTTTTTTTTTGGCCAGCTCAGTATTCTCAATACTGGCCCTTACCCAAGCTGACCATTTGGTGTGGGAGAAGGAAGGAAAGAGATGGTCCTCATGTCACTATTAATCTCTTGACATTCTATCTGGGGAAACAATTTATAGGTCACTTGAAGTAATCAAGTTACTGGTCTCTGGAGAGTACTGATGAATTGACTTTTTTTTTTTTTTAACGATGATACTATCTGGATTTATGTCAACTAGGATCTCACATTCTATTGGATTTAGTACTTTTGATGACTAAGGGAGAGGAGAGGGGAAAGTACTATATAGGTTTTGGCTGATTGAAGGTGAGAGAAATCTGGAGCTTTTTAAAGGAAAAATAATCATTAAAATAATTTAAAGTTATTAGTCCACTAAGAATCAGAGCACAGTCCAAAGCCTGTCATTGAGTTAATAATAGTTGGCAATTCCTTTCAGACATAGCTTTTGTGAGGTCATTTTTTGAGGCTAGTGGTGAAAAGCTTCATAGCCACAGAGCAACATTTGGCAATAAATTAGTTCAGCTTGTTTCCACATGGCCCCCAAATCTTCATTTGTTCCATCATGAAAAACAAACTTTCATTTGCTTGAAGCAGGGAAAAATAAATTATTTTCTTTTGCACATTTTGAGAATTTAATTTTTAGCATGCTTGTATGTTAATCTTATTTATTTATTTATTTATTTTTAAAGCCACTAACTACTCTTTTCCCTGTTTGGTTTTAGTCTCTGTAAAGAAAAAAAAAAAAAAGCCTGCATTTTTAGCTCTTTATAGAGAGAGCAAAATTTTCTCAAGGCAACAGCAATACAGACCCAAAGAAAATACCTGTGACTTAGCAGATTACTGAGTGAGGTTAGGGAGAAGTCCTTTTCCCCTAGTCTGAAGTGGGTTATTGCATTTCAGGTCACGATAATGTTGTGACATTGCTGTGGGAGGTGTGGGTATGGGATGGATGGCTCCCTTGTTTCTTCTTCCTACACCACTAAAGTTAAGAATCGATCACTTGTAATTTCAGTATGAAACGAATGTGACATCAGTTATACAGCCCTACTTAAAAAGCATTAAATTAGGAAAGCAAAAATACCCAACGGGAATTGTGGAAAATGTTAGTTGGATTACTAAAGTTTGCAAAGGTATCTTAATCAAGGTTTCCTCCGATGAACCACAGGAAGACATGTAGGGGTGGGGATTGAGGTAGCAGTGATAACGGTCATAACAGGGAGCGCTTACTATGTGACAGGCTCTGTTCTAAGAGTTCTGCTTCTGTGAACGCATTTAATCCTACAGAGTAGGTAATATCATCTTCATTTGAAAGGTGAGGAGAAAGAGGAGATTAAGTAACTTCAAAAGGTCACACAGCTCTCTGTCACTAGAGACTCACCCTTAGCCATCACGTTATGGTTGTATCAGACTGCCACTATTAGAATACTAGTCTACCACTCACTGGTTACAGGACCTTGGGCAAGTTAGTTAACCTCTCTAAGTATCAGCTCTGTAGATAGGTTGCTCCTACATTTAAATGAGATAGTTCATGTAAAACACTAATAGCACCTAGGAAGAGGAACTATTCAATAAATGTTAGCTCTTCTCAAAATAAGACAAATTAGCAAAGAATCAAAGAGTTAATAGAGGCTTAATTCTTTATATTATCGTTGTCTTTTGGTATATGTGTATATGTGTGTGTTTGTGTTTCTTATTGCCAATATTACATTTTTAGTATTACCTCTCAGGAATGAAGTTGATCGCAGAAATGATGACAATTATAGTAACAAGGCTTTATGTTTCTCAACGTGCTTATACAAATTATCCAATTTGATCCTTTGAATAGTCTTCTGTATTTGTCAACAAACTGAGGCCCAGGGAAGTTACGTAGTATTACGTGGCCACATGGTTGACAGAAAAAGTTGAATCCAGATTTGAACCTATGAAAGTGAGTTTAATTTATACCCTTTGATGTTGAGCTAGTTTTAGTAATGTTTTGTTGGTCTTGGGATTTCCAAGTACATAAGCAAATCATCTGCACACATTGATATTTCTAATTCTTCCTTTTCCATAGTTGTGACTTGATTTTTTTCCCTAAGCTGATTGGCAGCAGTTAGAGTGCAGAATTAAATAGAAACTTACCCTGCCTTTGTACACCTTTGTTAATACTTCTCATGTTAGTTCCTCTGCACATCACCCTCCAAATGCTTAGGAATGGCCCATGGCTGTCCTATCCGGCCAGCAGAACTGACTGAAATGTTCCCGCTCTAAAACGTCCTCTCTGAGTTTCTCAGCTAGAGTAACCTCTATTTATTTTAAGCCAGTGGTTCTCAACTGGGGCTGATTCCGTCCCCCAGGGGACATTTGGCAACATGTGACGTCATTTTTGGTTGCCGTAACGAGGGCAGACGGTGCTAGTGGCATCTGACGGGTAAAGGCGAGGAGGGATGCCGCTGAACACCCTGAAATGCACAGGCCAGCCCCCCGCAGTGAAGAATTCTCCAGCCTAAAATGGCAGCCGTGCTGAGGTTGAGAAACCCTCTTCTAAACTAAAGCTTCAAGGCATTAGGACACATATTATTTTCTGCTTTTAAAAAACTTACTACTGTATACATTTTATCATTGACTGTATTATTTGAGGGCAGAGATGCCATTGCCATCATCTTTTTATCGCCAATGTTCACAATAATTAGCAAGTCTGCCTACATATCCACCTGTACTACCTCATTAAATACCTCAGCTTCATTTAAACTTAAGTAATCGTTAACTACAAAAGATGACATATGTTAGATAAAATGATTTAGTTTTCTGGAGACATTTGTTAAATGAGAAAAGTGATTCAGGACCTAATTTTTTTAATTTGTAAAACTCAGACAAATGCTCATTCTCCTTTCTGATTCCATGCCTCTTCCCCAAATGATTCCATAAGCCATGATATATTTAAAAAAGAGTACAGAACAATAATATATGTGAAGAGATACAATGCACATATGAGTGTATTTGGGAAAACATTGTAATTATGACAAATCTGATGATGTTGACTAAAAACTCTATTAGCAGAATCAAACCAAGGAGGAAGAAGAAGTGGAAACACGTTCAAGACACTGGGCTCAAGGGAAACACAATCAGGGAAAACGAATTCTCAACATACCAACACTGGTGTCACATTTAAAGCTCAGATTTTACAAAAAATCTGATCTCCTTGGAAGTGAGCACACATTGCCTTTATTTAAAGTGCCTAAAGTATCATATTTGTTATTGGATGTCAGCAGCAATTCAGAGAGCATTTTGTCAAAGAAGAAAATATGAAGTTCCAGAACTCTTCTCACAAGGGATATTTCCAATAAGAAGAGGAAGACACAACCAACACATGATGGGTTTGCTATATAAGAACAATCTTTCTGTCAGGAAGGCTACTGTTCTTTTCCACTAGTAGCTGTATTTCTAAATAAAATTTTGAAGGGGAATGTTCTGTGTTACTTTTGGAAAGAGCAAAATACAAATTAGGTAGTTAATTGGTGCATCTGATTTTTGTGTGGTTTTCATTTTTATGCAGTTCTTCCATGTAACAGTCGAACAAATACAGCCTTTGAAGTGGAGTTCCTCTATTAGGTAACACAGATGTTTTCTTGGATTTTATTGTGCTCATGAAAATTTCATAACATTCATAATAATAGTAATGTAAAATAATAATTCACTGTGGCCAACAGCATGAGCAGCGGGCACAATGACAACTGAACTATTTCATGAGAAGGAGCAGAAGGCAGCTCCAGGAAAACACCATTCATCTCCAGATTTATCCATTTCAGTAATTTGTCCCCAGTTTTTAATGCACCTATTTTTTTATGGATAGTATTATTTGTTTCCTGATTAAGCAGTGCTACAATTACATGAATTAACCAATTACTTACCTAGTAAATCTGAAGCTCTTAAGTTTTCTTTCAGAAACATAACAGAAATAATGGCACTACCTAGAAAGAAAATGGCCATTAGTGGCTTTTCCAATATAAAAACATACATTATGCGGTGCCATTTGAAAGGAGTTAAGCACTTTGCGTCTTATACCTGGACTAGCTATGTCCTGGTCAGAGACACCCAGTAGCTGTGGCTGTGAAAACAACTTTTCCCCCCTTGTGCTTGAGGATACATAGAAACTGGCCTGGTTTACAATGGACCAAGGACATTGGCTGAGATAGTGCCCTGCAGACAGCAATGGCATAATAAAAGCTTACGAAGTAACTAAATGAATAAATGGAAGGAAAGAAGGAAAGAAGGAAGGAAGGAAGGAAGGAAGGAAGAAAGAAAGAGAAAGAAGAGAGAGAGGGAGGGAGGGAGGAAGAGAGGGAGGGAGTCAGGGATGGAGGCAGAAAGAGCGAGAAGAGATGGAACAAAAGAGTGGAAGAAAGAAAGTTTTAACTTTAAATCTACACCAGACTGAAACTCATGATTTGCCTTCATCTCCTCTGATAATTCCTATTCTAATGTTACCTCTAAGGAGCCCCAGAATCCTAGGACTCCTTCCATCCCCCCTGTTCACACCACACATCCAACAGGATCTCGGGTTTGCTGGATCTGAATTTCACCATCTGTCCAGCCCATCCCCTTTTCTTCAGTCCAGTGTCCCTCCCTGGGCTGCTCAGGCCAGCTTCACCTCAGGCTCAGACCTCAGTCTCCTACCACTTTACTCACCACATTTGTTCTTGATCTCTTTTATATTCTATACCCATCCTTACTCAAATCATCAGAATTCCCAGAAACACTGTTTAGTTTCATTCTAAAGGACTTTCATTTGTGTTATCCCCTTTGCAACTCTGCCTCCATTCTTGTGACCAGCTCTGGACTCAAGGATCACCTCTGGATTCCCCTAGACCCAGGTGACCAAACCACCCTTTTGTGTAATTACCCCCTGCAATATAGCTTTCTTATTACACCGAAGCTTTATTTGCCTATCTCCCCTCAAAGACCATCAGTTCCTTTGACTCTGAGATATGTCTTCTTCTAAGATCTCCTGGGTCTACCTAGCACACAAAGAAGAGAGTTTGTGGGATCTCTGCCCTGCTATTTGCTGGCCCTCATGGCATAAGATCCTCTTTCCCATGACTGATGCTACTGAACCCTCAAACTTCAGTGAGCCATGACCTTCTACTATGGCATCAGGTTATACAGGATATGTTGAATCTCTTTGAGTTTCCTCTCATGGAGCCATTCCTCTGTGAGTAGAGGCTTGGGAAAATCCAAACTTGCAATAATACAAAATAATACACAATATAATTTGTATTTAAATTTTTAAGTTAAATACAAATTTAATTAAATTTGGGGGAGGGGCAGAGGGAGAGGAAGAGGGAGAATCTTAAGTAGGCTCCACACCCAACATGGAGCCCAATGTAGGGCTTATCTCACGACCCTGAGATCACGACCTGAGCCAAGGTCAAGAGTAGGATGCTTAACCAATGAAGTCAACCAGGCGCCCCTGTATTTTAAATTTTTAACAGAAATTGTTAGCGATGTTTTTAAGTTTATTTTTTAAAGTAAAAATATACAGAAGAAAAGTCATCATAAAAATAACTCATCATCTAGAGAAAACTGCTGTTAATATGTTGGCGTGTTTATTTTACCTTAGCTGAGATAAAATTGTAATGCAAATTTTTTTTCAGTTTCCTTAGTTGTCATATTATTACACTTGCCATGTCATTTAAAATTCTATATAGATAGAAATTTTAATGAGTCTGTATAATAATTCATTAAATCAGTTAAATTTGAATATCACTATATCTGGTATTCTAACAACTGATTTAAAACAAAATAAAACCACACCAGAAACCCCCATTCAAGATAAGCTGGGATTCTCTCATGTTTTCTCCATCTTTTTCTCAACTAGCTCTCTTATTCAAGCTGAGCTATGTCCTTGCAAACTTCTCCTGGGCGAGTTATTTATTGGAATGGATGTTTTACACAGAATAAACAGAGCATGGAAAACATTCGCCAAGAATGAATTTAATTGGGTGGTGTGGCTTACAAACACTAAAGCAATGTTTTTCATACAGACACATAGCCCATTATATTAAGAATTGAGTTTGGGACAGGTGTAAAAACATCGGAAAATTTTCCATTTCATATTTGAACCAAAATAATTCAGGGAAACTAGTTTCATACGTTAGGGAATTAGAGAAGGTATAAAAACCAAGACCCCATTCCCATCCCATCATTGACTCCCTGTGTGATTACATAAGGAATGTGTCCAAGTAGAGAGAGGTAGATTGATAAAAAATAGGTGAAGAGTCACTACTAACACATACCACAAGCATTCCATGACAACAATCCTTAAGACGACTGTCTCGCAGCAAATGAGTCCAGGGAGAAGGGAGACATGGCTTACCCGGAATGGGGACAACTTAGAGCTGGCGAGAAATACAGAGACAATGTACTCCAGGTCCTAAACATGGTATTTGGAAGGTAGGTCCACAGAAGTGGTCTGTTTATTCATTGATCCATTCATTTAACAAACATTTGTATTATAGCACAATTGGAACCAAAGCTCACATTTCCTTAACCCTGGTCCTGGGCTCTTGCACGGACACTACACTCCATTGCCTCCCTGGAAGGTAGAACAGCATTGCTCTTCTCTTCTTGCTGCTAAACCAGTTTCGTAAATAATTTCACTTTTAGAAGGGATGGGGGAATTGCTCTGTAGGGGACAATTTCATTGCTAACAAGGGACAGGATTGGTAACAATAAATTTGAAATATACCATAGGCATGAAATGATATCAATTGCCATAAAAGTTGTCAGTGTTTTATGAACATCAATATGCTACTTTTACTCTCTGAAAGATCTTATGTCTAATATACTTCTGTACTCATTTTTTGTTTAAGAGAATGTGAGCTTTTCTACAAAATTGTTAGATGAAAGAATAAGATTTTTAGTTTTATTTATCTAGCAAAGGAAGTGATAAAAAAGAACATTCTGTTAAGAAACACTCACAATTCATTTATCTTTCAAAATATGGTTAAAATGAGAGCTGTGCTGTGCAAAAAGACAGTATCTGAGCAACAGCTCATAACATGACTTCTAAGTGGAGCAGTAAATTTTTAAAATGAGAAAAAATAAATAACCTGAAATGTGCCATATACATATTTGCAATCAGAGATTTGTCAAGCTCAACCCTGTCTTGTTGCTGCTGTAACAATCACCACTGCCTAGTAAACACCTAGGAAGAGGAAAGAACTACTCTGCTTTTACTCCTATAGTAAAAGTTAATATTCGGAAATAAAGCATTTCAAGACCAATAGTTTAAAAAGCATTAACACAGAGCACAGTTGTGAATTAAACAGATTTGTACTAAGTATGATTAAACTATAGTAACTACTGAGCATTCACTTCAGCACTCATGGTTTTGTGTAGATTTTTGACTGGGGGCGTATTTGGGCAGAGGTTCAAGAACCCTTTTCCGTTCTGGCCCTCGTATGGATGCAGACTGAAACAGAGTGCTCACAGACAAGTCTACACAGAGTGTATCTGTGGGCACTTGGGGCTAAATTCATGACACGGTGTCACACAGGGACTCCAGAGCCAGACACTGAATCTAAATGAGCATAATGCATTAAAAAAGAAAAAGTGAGAGGTAGCATTTGTAAGATAATATACCAAAATTTAAACAGTGGTTATATAGAACTTATGGTGGGAAAAAAAAAGACAGCAGGAATATTTTCTGTAAGGGGAAAAAATAAGAAAGCTTCTAGAACTTTCTCTGGTACAAAATGGTGTTCCCATGAGGCATTTTATTAATGTATTCACTAGGCCTTAAAGTTCTAATGCTTCACTGTCAGGAAGACTCTCAACAATTATCATAGGACAGTCAACTATTCTATTTTTAGCCATTCAGGTGTCACTCAGATCAGCAATCAGAATGGAGGTCTTTGGGGCACCTGGGTGGCTCAGTGGGTTAAAGCCTCTGCCTTTGGCTCAGGTCATGATCCCAGGGTCCTGGGATCGAGCCCCGCATCGGGCTCTCTGCTCAGCGGGGAGCCTGCTTCCCCTTCTCTCTCTCTGCCTGCCTCTCTGCCTAGTTGTGACCTCTCTCTCTCTGTCAAATAAATAAAAAATATCTTTAAAAAAAATTAAAAAAAAAAAGAATAGAGGTCCTTTCTGGTCAAGGTTGACACGCAGAAGCTTACATGAGGGAATTCTGATTCAGGTTACCAGATGAAAACAGATTAAGGCCAAGCAAGATTCTGGTGGCTTCTGCTGAACCAAGTCTAGATGTGGGGGAGGGTGCCAGTTCCAGCAGTAGCCACGTGCCCTGGTGCTGAGCTTCATAACGCTCCCTGAAATGAACGCCAAGTTTGTCTTTTCTCTGCCTCCTCTATGACATCTCAGAGACTTGGTCCAAGGACTGGCTGTTATTTTAGAAGAGTTATTTCACTTAACGTGGTCAAGGGTTGACGCTCTAAGATCCATCGCAGGCCACAAGTGAAAGAAAAACATAACTATAAAATAATCTGGGGCATGGGAATTCAGAAAGGTCATATGAACTTGATTTGGGTTTCTTCTGTAATAGCCATCCTAGGGATTAATAAATCAGAAGTTAAGCATCATATTTCTATGTTAACAATAAAAATCATAGGTAGATTTTCACAGGTGAGTTTAGATCTCTGTGTCTGCAGAAGAGAGAACTGAGGACTCCATTTTTACATTTATATGTGTAATTTTAGCTCTTGTTTTCTAAATATTTTATTTATTTATTTGACAGAGAGAGAGAGATCACAAGTAGGCAGAGAGGCAGGCAGAGAGAGAGAGAGGAGGAAGCAGGCTCCCTGCCAAGCAGAGAGTCCAGTGTGGGGCTCGATCCCAGGACCCTGAGATCATGACCTGAGCCGAAGGCAGAGGCTTAACCCACTGCGCCAGCCTGGCACCCCTTAACTCTCTTTTTACTAAAGGTTTAACAGTACAGAAGAGTTTGTTTACTATTTAA